TTTTTTTCATCCTTACTAGTCCTCATTGGTATTATAAATCTGAAAGCGAGTTTGTTTGTTTGTTACGCTTTCATGAAATTTTGTACACTGGTGTCAACTTAAAATATAGGGTAGATTTAATCTCGATTAGACGAGGGGCGTGGCACCTCCCCTTACAAACCTAATTTTTCATACCGCATATCTCAGGAAATATTTGTGATAGAGTACTGGAGCTCATGGAGGAGGGCTGCCACCTGTTTAAAAAGTCAAATTTAACTTGAAGGGAATTATTTATTTGAAAATTATATTGAAAGTTGTCGCTTGAAAATATTTTGAAAAGGTCGCATCCTGTTTGAAAAGTCAAATTTAAATGAATTTTTCGTAAGCTATCTGATAAATTAAAATAGTTGCCATCTGTTAAAAAAAAATCAAATGTTACTTGAGTTAAGGGAATCAAGTAATTGGAATGTGTTCACAATATCGGCGTCGGACAAAAGTTGTTTAATCAGGGCTACCACTGAATCCGTCGTAGGCCGAATTTTCGCGAAATCTGCGAAAATGCTGTCACTAAATCTGAATAGATACGAGAACAAAGCATACACTTTGAATGCATCCGGATTCAGTGATCGTATTTTCGTAGATTTAACGAAAATCGGACTACGATGTTTTCAGCGATAACCCAGAATAAGGGTTTCATTTCCACATATTTAAAAATTAAGATTCAACTTTAATTGGCAGACGAAAGATGTTTAAAAAGGTTGCAAACTGTTTAAAAATTTAAACTAAAACTATTCAACAATTTCAATCATTTCGAAATTATTTGGAAGGACTTCATTTCTTAACTACATGTAAGTAAGAAAAAGTATCTCAAGAGAGAGATTTAAGAAAGTCTTAGTTCTAAAATATTTTGAAGATTGTTAAAAAAATTTAAAAACTTCTCTCTTTGGCATAGTTTTAATATGTTGAGTCTTATTGAAAACACACATAATGTAGTACGCAGAAATTCCATGCACTCAGCGAAGCGAGTTCTTTTCTTAGTAGATTTTTTTTATAGTACATAAAATCTTCCATCAATCGGTCTTATTAACCATATTTTATCAAACGAGACTAGGGTTAAAATGTTGAACAACAAATTTGAAGGGAGATCAAAAATACGAAATGCTTCTGCAAAATAAGACAGAAGAGTTAATACATGATATGTATGTAGAAGGTGTGGATTTAGCTTTCTGTATTGAAATTTGTGATCAGACGGTGTGAAATTCCCTTTGTTTGTGACCTCCACGGTGGTTACATAACTCCCTGAATTTCGCAAGTCTAGTGAAACATTGCTTGCTACGAGCCACGCCGTATTCGTCTCATCAGAATCTTCTATTCTTCGAACCAAATTTTAGAAAGACCGTAACTCGTATTTTTATTACTTTACAGTAGAAGGGAAAAATAGAACCAAAACAAAGAAAACAACAGCCACATGTTGAAGAAGATCTACTAACTATGTAGTTGTGCACGTGAAGTATAGCAGAACAAAGTACAAAAACATTTCTAAAAAGAAGTGTAGTCTATACGAAGAGATGAGGTGATGAAATTACAAAACACTTTCAATTTAGTTCAAACGTTTACATATATTAATAATTCAAATGTTTTTTTTTTTTTATATTACAGAGTTTTCTAAGTGTGTTGTGTAGGTTAGCTTCTCTTTTTGCAAATACAATATTTTGCACTTAAGTTTATAATGAAAATTTCCATTGAATTGCATAAATTTCAGTTTAAAACATTTCTTCAAATATCAACTACAACTTTTGTATACACAACAAATAACTCCAATTAGGGTGTGTGTTAAATTTGAGAAATAAATTTGAACAATATTGTAAGTATGTATACATTTGTTATATAGTTAGTAGATAGGATATACATATCTATGTATGTAGTGAGTTTACATAGTGCTTTGGCTACAACAGTACGTATAAGAAATTAGCTACATTTGGTAGTGTAGCATAAATCACAAGTACTATTACAGTTAGTTTTACATGTTCATTTAGTGGATATCTATAAACAATTACAGGACTTCAATTTGGTTTAACTAATACATTGTTAACAATTTGCAACTTTCGCTTACGCACGCAAAATGAACTCATATTTGGTTTCGAAAGGGCAACACTTTTAAGTGCTCAACTACATGCGAATTATATGTAGGAAATAAGAAGATGCGGCTAGTACAGACACCATATTTTTTTGGCGTTAAAAATTTTGCATAGTTGAAATAGGAAATTACTTTTTCAAAGCGTGTTTATATGCTCAGGTGGTTGTTAGGTTTGTGCAGATAAAGATTTTTTATTTTTTTGAAATTTTGTTAAATTAGTTTTTAAGACGTTTTGTTGTTGGAGCTTAATTTTTATATGTACTTTGTGCCCATTAGAGCATGCCAAATTGTACCTCATCTTCTTCATCATCGTCTTCACTCTCGTTGTTACCCTCAATTAATGCATCGTTTTTCTTCTTTGCACTACCATTACGTTTTGTTGCGCTGCCATTTCGCCGTCCCCGCATCGCTTTGGCTGTGGTGAGTCGTGGCATTTTTCCACTCTTTTGCTCATTTGTTTGATTTGTCTTTTCACCTCTGCTTTCTGGTGTTGCTATGCTTACTTTTTCACCAGTTTCTTTATCCGCATTCACAGTGGGTTTTCTTTCGCCATTTACTGTTATAGTTTCACTTTTTATGATGTTGTCGCGTATTTCAATTTCTTTTGAATTGTTTGGTTTTTGGTCTATTTCGTTTTTCACATCCTCTTCAGTCTTATTGTTTACTTTAGGTGCTCCTTGATTTGTTTTTTCCTTGGCGCCAATTTTGTTGCTGCTATCTTCGTTTTCAGGTTCTGTTGTATGAAGTTGTGCGCTTTGTGGATTGTTGTCTGTTTCGCCTTCGTTTTCAATTATACTTTCCTCACTCTTAGTAGTATTCTTCTCATCTATGATTTCGGGCTCAACTAAATTTTCTATAGCAGTATCTGTTCTCTCACCAGTTATTTTACCGTCAAGAGTTTCTTTAGTTTTTTCTGGCTCAGATTCCTTCTCTTTTTCTTGCTCTTTTTCCTTGTCTTTTTCATCTAGCTTTTCTTTTTCGTTTTCATCGTTTACATCTTTATTACCAGCAACTGTATCGATCAACTTCTTTTTCTCATCTGTTTTGTCTTTCATATTTTCATCATCGGTTTCCTCCTTTTCGCCTTCGACAACTTTAAATCCATTTTCAGCAATTTTACTCACTTGGCTTTCATTATTTATTTGTTCGTCTTTTTCTTTTTCAACTGTTTCACTTTCATTTTCGTCATTTTTCATTTTTTCATTCTCTTTTGAAATCGTTTTACCCATGTTTCCCTTGTCTGACTTTTCTTCGTTTTCGTTTTCATTTATTTCATTTCCATTTTCGCTCTCTTTGCCTTCTTTTACCGAATTTTCCACGTTTTCAACACCCTTTTCCTGCTTACTTTGTTCTATATTGCCTTCCTTATCAACTTGATCCATTTCCTTGCTTTTTTCCTCTATAAATTTCGCTTCTTCACTCGCTGTTTCTTTCTCATTATTATCAACCACACTAGTGCTTTCATTTAAGTTTTTTGGCTCTTCGTCTTTGTCTTTTTCACCACCCACTTTACTTTCTTCTTCTTCTTCATTTGCATTTTCCTTACTTTCATTCACTTGCTTTTCATCGCTTTCAGTGGTTTTCAACTCTGTTGCTCCTATTTCCTTATTCATTAGCTCATCTACGCTTGCTTGTGCCTCTACCTCTTCTTTTTCATTGCTGCTATTTTCCAAAATTCCATCGCCTACTTCCTGCCCTTCTTCAGCTTCCGTTGCTTTGCCCACATCACCCACTACCTTCTCATCTTCCTTTTCATCTGCCTTTTCAACTGCCTTCTCATCTTCCTTCTCACCACTACTATCTTCATTTTCATCAACTGTTTCATCACCAGCTTCTACTAAAACATCGCTTTCTTTCTTTTCCTCCCTTCCTTTCGCCCCTGCCTCTACTTTCGTTGCTTCTTCTATCTCTTTCTCTTCCGGTTTTACTTCCACATCCTTTGTACTCTCGCTCTCAGTCAAATTTTTGCTCTCTGCTGTCGCCGTAGTTGTCTCATTGTCTCCTTGCTGCGCATGCTCATCACTCTCATTGGTTGTTGTTGTAGGTTCGTTTAATGTTTTCATATTAGTCTGCAAAAGTAAACAATTGTCGACTGATATCTTTCTGTACGTTTTAGTTTAAAAAAGCAAAAAATGTTCATTTATTTAAAATTTTATTATTTTTCAAAATTCAAAAATTTGTTAAATGCTCATTAAATTAACACAAAAGTTGGAAAAAAGTAAGTCAAGCCAACAGATATATTCTTGTAGAGAAGTGATTGAAGCCGCTGCCGAAAACTCAAAAATCGATTTAAAAAGAAATGGTGTTGAATAAAATAAAAAATGATGTATTTAGATTTGTAATTAGGTGTATTCAGTTTCGAAAACATATAAAAATATCAAAAACATCGAAAAATAGAAAGACGCATCAAGGCCGACAATGGCTTACTTTTGACAGTTTGCAAAAAATTTCACTAATTCAATTCTTCTAATCCGTTTCTATTCTTCTGTTACATATTTTTTCCAAACAAAGCATACATATTTATAAGAAAAATTTCGTGTGCAGAAGCGAAAACAACGCTGCTGCTATTTACATAGTTGCATGAAAAAGTTCAATTTCACTTTTCAAAATTAAATTGTGCCAAAAGAAATTCTAAAGCATTCTAAGTTTTTGTGTACCTATGCAGCTGTGCATAACACTGAACAAACATTTACCAAGCGAACTACAGCAGTACGTAGAATTTTCTAAACGCCTGCCAGATTCAAGAGCAATAAGCAATAAGCCTTAATAACTCTAAGTGCATTTTTATTTAAAATTCAAAAGCAGTTGAGATTCAGTGTAAATGATTATACAAAATGTATGTTAATACTTATGAACGCTTAAAGCGCGGCAATGCAAAACTTACCTCGCCTTCAATGGCCTCTACCTCAGGCTCAGCAGCGTCTTCGGCTGCCTCAGACGCAGTCTCATCCTCAGCTTCCGCTTCAACCTCCTCGGTTTCGCCGTTGGCATTGCCATTGATTGCCACCGTTTCAGCATTTTCATTTACGGGTATCGCACCTTCACCATCTTCACCATCTTCTTCATCAGCCGGTTCATCGTTATCATCGTCTTTCACTGGTGTCTGCGGTACTGAGTCACTGGCGGTGCCATTGGTTATTGGCGTTGCGGGCTGTTCTTCTTCTGTGGCGCTTATGCTTTATGATCATGTTTTTGTGGCGCAGAAAATGGTTGAAGCGATTTCGTGTGTTGTGTGTGTGTGTGTGTTTGGTGGGTGGTATTGTGGATTTGGTGTTTTTGGAAAAATTATTACTTGTTATACAAAAATTCAAAATTCATCAAAGGCTCTACATAAAAACTAAAACTAATTAAAAATTGTTGCATTACTGATTTATTTGCTAGATCTTTTTTCACCGCTGTTTATTAGCCAAAACAAAAAGCTTCATTCTCTAAGTAATGATAAGATGAGTTGCCAAAATAAAATTCATAAAAATTGTTTGTGTACGAAAGATGTTAATTTTTGGAGGAAAATATTTTACACACACTTCATAACTTAAAAGCTTAAAACCTAAAATTTTTTAAAGTTAAAAACGTACTATTTTTTGCATAGCTATTCTGATTATTTTCAGACTTACAATTCAAATTTTAAAATTTTTTCTTAAGCAACCTAGGCGAACAGACGGACGGACAGACAGTCACCGCTTAATCGAGTTTTCATTCTGAGCATTTATGTATTCATTTGTCTATATATATCTCGTTTCGTTTTGGCTGTTACAAGCAACCGTTATGTGAACAAAGTTATAATACCCTTGGGTACAAGTGAGCTCGGATTGTTCGATATACGAAAAATTAAGTTAAAAAAAAAAATCGTTGGAAACCGGTTTGGAAGAACCGAGTCAATCACCCTAGTACATACTTTTCATCGGACCAATTGACCTTGCACCAGAGCAAGCAGATCAATGTAAGAATGAGTGAATAGGTCTGGAATGAGAAACAATCTTTGCAGCACTAACGCAAAGGCACAAAACTCTGTGATTACACCTGGCAAATTATTTTCTCGTGATCCCATTTATGCCGATGTATGTATATACATACAGTATCTACTCATTGTTTTTTTTTTTAATTTTGCACAAAGTATGAAAGTTTGGTTTAAAAAGTTACAAAAAATCGGGAAAGCTGCATCTAAATTTTCAATCAAATTTTACAGAATTTTTCGAGTACGCAGATTTATGTATATTAAAGTGAAAATAAAAATTAAAAACCAAGACATTATAAAATAATAAAAACTAAATAAAAAATAACATGCAAATTTAAGATAAAAATAAACAGGAAAATAAAGACTAAAAAATATTTAATAAAAAATTAAAAATAATGCAAGTGAAACTAATAAAATTAATAAGGGAAATATAAAAAAAAATTTTAAATAAAAATCAAAATGAAAACAAAAAAATATAAAAAAATACAAGATTGATAGAATATAAAACAAAAGCAAGAAAAGGAAATCAATAAAAAATTAAATTCACCTGAAATAACGCAAAACCAAATATAAAAGTTTGCCATAATAATAAAACTTAAGAAATAAAAAATAGTAAAAATAAAAATAAATTTTTTTATATTAATAATAAAAATAAATAGATGTAAAATATAAATTAAAATTTTAGTAAATATAACACCCAAGCTCATAAAAAATAAAAGCAAAAATTTTAAGAAAATATCACTTTATAAAATTTTTTGTATTAATTTCATTTAAAATGTTAAAATTGATGATGATTTGTTTTTTTTTTTTATTTTTGTTATTTATGGCCGTATAACAATTATAATAAACAATTTTATTTAGCATGAGGCCATTTTTAATGAAAATTTTGAAAAAAACGATAATTTACATACTTCATGATGATTATGAAATGAAAATCAAAAAAAAAATATCTACTCTTTAATTCAACATCAAATTGGTGAAATAAAGACTTATTTAAGCTGTTTCAAATCCTGTTATCACCTTGTTTTAGTTTTCAATTTTAACTTCCAAAAATTAACATCATTTTAAAACATTTTTAAACTCTACTTAACAGTTCAACCGCTACCAACTATAGCTACACAATCAACGCCCATACTCACCCATCGTTTAAATCAACTTCGGATATATTTTCAATACTTTCGTCAATGGTGTGACCATGAATACCGTTAGTATCTGGTATTTTAATATCAAGTTTCTGTTTGAAACGGAACCACAACGGGATAAAAGGATAGGGGAAACAACAAACAAACCGAAAACGAAAATGTGTACATGCATAAATACATAAATATATACATACATATATGCAAGTCAAATTTAATAAAATGGAATTCGCAAATAATTTCTCGCATTTAAAAACAACTCACCTTGCCACCATCGCCGACATCCTCACTCAACGCCTCCCAATCGGTGGCGACATCTGGTGAAACGCGTGGCGCCTCCGGCACATAAACCAAAAACGCACGTTCAATATCGTTAGGCTTGTGACGATAGTAAGTAGGCGATTTCATTTTCTAAAAATAGGCAAGCAAAAAAAAAACACAAGAATACGAATGATTTCGAAAAACATCTGAAAATCACAATTCAAATTCAAAAGTAATTTTGTTTTCAATTACGGCATGACATTTTAACGCGCTTGGCACGCAATTACTGAAAGGTTACCCCAGCGCACAGAGGTTCAAAACTGGAATTTAGTTTTCTTAATTCACTGGAGTCTTCACTTTTCACTCAATTTGATTAATTTTTAATTGAAGTTAATTAAATTTGCAAGAGACCAGTTTAGCCCGATTTTTCAATTTTTTTTGTTTGTATTAAGTTTTTAGTGCAAAGTGCAGAAAAAGTAGCAATTTTGAAGAAAATCGAGTCTCCCATTCCAGTCAATAAATGTTTTCAAGTGGCCAAGAGTTCGAGTTGATTTTTAATAATATAACAAACGCTTTTATTTCCCATTTAGCATGCAGATGTGCTCGAAATGTTAGCAAAAAAATTATTAAAAAACCACGCGAACTCTTGGCCACTTGCAAATCGCACTTTATTACACTAAATTCAAATATTTTTTTTTTATTTTGGTGAAATTTTTTTATAAAACATTTCAAATTTTTTGTAAATTTTGTACCTGTAACGAAAAAAAAACCATTTTACTTTATTATATTACAATTATACTACAATTTAATGGTCTATAAAACTGCATACCCAAATTTTTTATAAAAACCAAAAACCAAACAAATAATTTTGTGAAAATTTTTGTTATAACATTTCAATTTTTTTTCATTTTGGAAGAACCCTAGAATTGTTTCAAACTAGCTTTTATTATGAAACATTTTTTTATTGAAAAGGATAATCGAGTTTCTTCAAAATTTTATCTTTTTCTGCACTTTGCACTAAAAAAAAATTAATACAAATACACAAAAATTCAAAAATCGGCTCCAGTGAATTGTGAACACAAAATGGCAATTTTGAACCACTGTGCAGCAGTGTACTGGGTATTACATAGAATAACAGCAATGACATACATATAAGCTCGTTCGTTTGTACTTACATAATCCATGGCCTCCTCATCGCCGCCGGTTTGCGTAAGCAGCGTATAACAGCGCATATTATTCTTATGACTAGCCGCCCAATGTAGTGGCGTTTTGCCAGTTATATCCGTCTCAGCAACGCCATCCGGCCAGATGCCAATCAGATACTCGAGTATCTTTGTATGACCAAGCCCCGCTGCCTTGTGTATGAGATTGAGGCCATTCGCATCGCGACATGTGATGAGAGCGGGCGGCACTGGTGGCTCCATTTTCGCTTGTAACGTTTCCAGATTATTGTCGATAACAGCCTGATGCACATCTTTGATTGAATTCTAAAAATATGAAAGGTGTTGTTGAATATGAGCAAATATCGCGAGTTGTTTTTTTTTTTTGTTTAAGTTTCACTTCCTGCTCTCGCCAGAAAAAAACGCTAAAGCATTACTATTGCGTGTATTTTAATCAATGGCGTACCAGAAACAAGTCGAATAAAAATTAAAGTACCGAAATTAATAATTTTATCATTATCACTCGAAAAAAATCACAATTGTTTTCTTTTAACAACTTTGGGAAGTTTTCAAATAGAATGTTCATATTAGAGGCAATGGACGTTGACATCAAATTCAACATATCTGTGAGCTTTCAAAAGTGTGCCACCAAATTTAAAAAAAAAGGTTGTTTTTTATTTTAATAATTTAAGACCCTTCAAAATGTTAAAATTAAAAGGTGAAATGTTCTCCTTGCCACAACTAATGAATCTAGTGTAATAACAACAGTGTGCCACCAAACGAAAAAACAAATTGCATTGAGTAAAAGATGACTATGATTTGAGAAACTAAAATTCCATTTTACAATTTTTATTGGCACACCCGGAATCCATTCTTAAATTGTTATATACTTGAAGAAAGTAATATATATGCGCATAAAGAGTACTGTGTAAAAATCTTCCATGCCAATATTTAGTCGCTTTTAAATTTTATGATATTTAGAATAAGACGTGCGATAAAACGATGTAGATACCTGTGTATGATGCGACCGGGCATCAAAAACTTGCACACAAAACTATTTTAGTATCGTAGTACAATAAAAGAAATGGGTGCATAAAAATCTACATAATCAAAAACGTCTATTAAACGATTTTTTATAACGAGCGAAAATAAAAACATTCACACCAACTCACCATCACATACGGCACCGCTGCCAAAAATCGTTTTACACGCGGATTTGTGCTCGCCTGTTGACACAGTCGACTGCCTTGGCCCGCCCACAAGATGCGCGTCAACTTTCCAATATCCTTTTCGTGCATCCATATTCTTATAGTTGATAGTTTCACTGAAAAATCTGTGGAAGAAACAGAGGTAAAGCAAAATGTGTGTGAAAATTCAATTAACTGCACATTTGGGGAATGTAAACTTTAACAAACTACTTAATGTAGTTTTCTTAACTTATTTTCGGAGAAAGTACTTTTATCATTAAAACTATTTTTCGAGTATTCCCCTTCGGCTGTAACTCTACACTTGTGGCGTGTTGGCATGCAATTGCGTTTGAAAATTTGCTACAAATAAAGGAAAATCCCTTGCATAGCTTCTTTAAGTATATAAGTGCTGGCAAATTAATTTTGAGTGTTTTCCTTGAAAATATTACCCCCCGCCCCCCACTTTACAACAAGAACTTTTATTATCATACCTAGGACATGGTTATGACCCAGCGTATGTTAAGAATAACTGTTTTCGGTAAAAGAGCACGGTGGTACATGCAGGGTGAAAAGGCCCATTGTGATACCATTCCACAGTGGTTCAAAAGCGGAATTTAGTGTTCACAATCCACTGGAGCCTTAATTTTTAACTCAATTTAATATTTTTTTTTATAATGATAGCTAATAAAATTTTCAAGAGACCAGCTGAGCCTGAGTTTTGTATTTTTATTTGGTTACAATTTTTTAGTAGTAATTTTGAAGAAAACGAATTTTTCTGTTCCAGTTAATAAATGTTATATAATAAAAAGTATTTAATTGAAAGCCATTGTAGGATTCCCGAAAACGAAGCAAAAATTTAAATGCTATAAATTTTCACCAAATTCAAATTATTTTGTTATACATACTACAATTTAATGATCTAGAAAATTGCATACCCAACATTTGTTTTTAATTTTAGTGAAAATTTCTTTTTAACATTTCAAATTTTTCTTGCAAATTTTATAAGCTTTCAATAAAAAAAAATTATTATCAAAATTAAGGCTCCAGTGTATTATGAACAGTAAAATCCAGTTTTAAACCACTATGCGCTGGCGAAGGCTATTTGTTCCCATTCATCAGAAATGGAACCACTATGTATCTTTGTATAGAAAACGAGGAGTAATTTTTAACTCGATTTGTAAGCGTCTGTGTCCGGAAGTAGTCCCGAAATGGTCCCGAACTAGACCCAAAAAAAATCCTCAGCTAGCCCCGAACTGGTCCCGAACTAGTCTCGAAATGTTTCCGAAAAAGTCCTCCTAAACTAGGCCCAGCCTAGTCATCCTGAAAATCCAGAACTATATCGACGAGCAGCGTTGCAAGAAAAGCTGATTTATTTTTTTTTCCGTTGTACTACTTGTGAATTTGTTTTGATTTAAGGTGCACCTCCTGGCCAGGATAAGACAGTGGCAGAGATAGTGCTCGATGGTATCTACTTCTTCCTCGTCTCTTCAGCTGCGACAAAAATCATTACTCCAACAAATCTGAAAGAGGAGCGGTCAAGACGAATGAGAAGTTTTACATCGCCTTTGTCCAACATTTGGCCACATTTGTTCTAGTAGTCTGAAAAGAGAGCGAAGAATAGGCAGAATGGCCGATAACGAGGCAATCTCTCTCTACGCCAACCTTCCAGCAAATGATGCAATCGTCTTTCCAGCGGAAATCTTAGGCATCGCTGAAGCTTGTAAGGTTCAAGGAAAAGGCAACGGTAGATTTACAGGACGATTCTGGCAACTGTCTTTCAACTCAACACTTCACCACCGTCATCGGTGATTCTGGCAACTTCCTTGAAAGCTCTTTACTGTCTTTCGAAGGACTAAATGATAGATCTGCCAACGAGGAGGTCTTAGCGTTCTTCTGTTCGCCTTTTTGCAATGAGTTTTTTAGAAATCAAACTAATTTTAAAAAAAAACGTATGTATATTAAAAAAAATAATAATAAGATGTAAATAAATAAATAAAATGAAAATAAATAAAATGATTTGTAAAACTTAATTGTGATTAAAACAAATATATTCTAAAAATTATATAAGAAAAAGAAAAAAAATCAAAGGAAATAGTACTTGAAAATTAAATAATATTAAAAAAAAGCATTATTTTTAAAACAAAATCTTAAAAGTAAATGAATATTAAATTTTAAAAAAGACTTAAAACTAAAATTAAAAAAATAATAAAATAAAATCCTAGAAACTAATTGAAATTAAAGAAATATATATTTTCGTTTTTAATAAAAGAAAAATAAATTTAATAAAAACATTTGTTCCTAAAGGTTTTATGAAATTGAAAACAAATATTTTTCTTTTTAAACTATAAAGTCTATACATCAAAAGAAAATTAAACTAAAAACAGAAATAATTTAAGGCAAAAAAGAAAAAAAATAAAACAATTTCTTAACAATTAAAAATTATTTAAAAAAAAATATTTTTCTTAGTAAAAAAATGACATCTGAAAGTTAAACGAAAATTTAATTAAGAAATAGACAAAATCAAATTAAAATAGGAAAGAAAATTATTTTCTAAAAATTAAATGAAGTCAAAAAGTATATATGTATTTTTCTTTTTAAGACTATAAAATCTTGAAAACAAATAGAAAAATAAAATAAGTTCCAAAAATTTTATGAAATTAAAAATATGCATACATATATTTCTTTTTTAGACAATAAAATCGGAAAATTTAAAGTTAATTATAGGTATTAAAACAGAAAAAATTTAATTGAAAAATTAGTTCCTACTAACTAAATATGTACAGTTAAAAAAATATTCTTTTTTTTAAGAGAATAACATTTAAAAATGTATAGAAAATTAAATAAAGGAAGAAACAAAAGTAAATTAAAACAAAAAAAAACATAAAATAAGTACTAAATGAAATAAAAAAATATACATTTTTCTTTTTAAAACAATAAAATGTTTAAATTAAAAGAAAATTTTAGTAAAAAGTTCTTTCTCAAACGAAGTGCCACTGAGCTAAGACCTCGGGCACCTCCTTGTGGTTATTTCTAGCGAAAATCAGATATCGCCATTAGAAACGAATAAAGACGTGAGCTCAAAGTAGACCTCGAAAAAAGACGCGTACTAAAAACTTCGGCGAAGAAAGACGCGGAAGCTTATTTTCGCGGTCAATTATGTTTGCGGGTGTAATAAAAGACGGGAGAAAGTGAATTAGCTCAAGGCAAAATATTTTTACAAAAGTAAAAGCGGCACTCAAAACCGTACCAAAGCGGAATAGTCTTTAATTTCCCGCACAAGGCTAGGAATGCTCTACATACTAACGTAACATGTTTGTAACAGCCAATTCTAAATACGCTTTTTAACTATTTTTTTAACTTGCTCCAATTTTGAAATTGATAACACATGCTATACCCAAACCTCCATACTTACTACTTGCATATAAGCTATATATATATGTATGTATCACTTATTGTTAAAATATTCACATGCATTACCCCACCACTCAACTTTCATCTGACAGTTTAACTAATTGAAAAATTCAATTAGCTTATTAATAATTAATTTCTTGACTAAAGGAAAACGCAGTTGGCATGTTTCACTTGGCGTGTAAAAGTTTCAGCGAATTAAATAAGTCATAAGAATATAAAGGTTAGTTTGCAGAGAGAAACGGCAACAATTCAGTTAGTCAATAAAATGTGTGCGGGCGAGTTCGAAGGTTAAGATATTGTTTTGAACAAAATATGGTAGACGAGCGTAAATAAAACAATTGCTTAGAAGTAAAATCATGCTTTCAATTAACCGCAGACTGTGGCTAGGGAATAGATTGTTGAAGGCATTTGTAAGTTGTGGTAAACAAGCAAATACATATATATATTCTTACGATTGACCTAAAAATTTCCATTGCCGGCATTGATTATTGCTACGCTATAATAATGAATCATCTGGGATATACATACATTAGGATGCCTCACCAAAAAAAGTGGCGGCTTTAAAAAGGAAATGTAAAAGTTGGTAGAGTGTAAGACTTTCGCCAAATAGTCTCAGAAAAATATCAAGATTAAGAAAGCTGCACCGATTTGAAAATATTTCCAAAAACCTCACTATTTTGATGCCGTCTATACAATTTTTAAACATTCTTAAGCAGACCTTTTAAGCTCAAACTCTTCTTTCATCTGATGGGATTTTTTGGAAAAATATATTTAATCATCAGAGTGGTTTCTAAAAAACTCAATTTTTGGAAGTATTTCCAAATCGGTCCAGCTCATGGAAATTTTAATATTTTTCGAATATATTTTGGTATCAATTTTAAAATATAATAAGTTTTATAATTCCGAAAAATAGTACCAAATTTTTTTGTATGAACAGTGCTGCAGACTAATGTATATATGTTACATAACAATCGCAAACAAATTGCAATAATAACTTATTTACGTCCACGTCTTAATAGCTGTTTTCATGTGAATATTCAAAACTAGAACATTTCAGCTGCTGAGTTCACTGAGAAAAATCAAACAAATATTGGTTAAGATTACGAAATTCAGACTTGAAAAGGAATCAATGTGATTTTTGTTTAATACACAGGTTTACAAAAAAAAGTGTTTGCATATTAAACCAAACCTCTATATCCCTATCATATTCGACGTCCTAAATGCGAATCGAAGGTCTGTTAGCCTCCGTCACGTCAGGTTCGATGTCATTTGAAGGTCAAGGAGGGAAAAATTCATTGAGAAAAACCTGAAAATTCTATACAATTTTCTGAATTTGACCTTGGGATGACCTCGTCATGTAGAGTTTTGGTTCAATATGCAGAAAAAATTTTTTTTTTTTTTTTTTGTAAACCTGTGATATTAAATAACAATGATATTTTCAACATTGGCTTGGTAATATTAACCACACTTTTGTTTAAGTAAAGCAAATTTTTGTTTATCGATTTTTAGCTTTGAAATGCGCTTATGTTCTGCACTTCGCGGATGCTTTTTCATAATTCGCATTAATTATTCTGTCTTCGTTTCGGGATTCCCCGAGATCATCTATGCATAGATTATTACATGGATAGATGAAGCATGGATTTAAAAACCATTCGGAGAAAGAAGCTTCCTCGGCATCGCCTTTTTTTTTTATCTGCCCATTAAAAAGTTAAATCATTAGATAAGCTCAGGATTTTTACACCGTGAACTTTTCTAAATTCAGGAGCGGGTTAACAAGTTCGTATTGAAGAATCATTCACATGGAAACTTACCAAAAAAGAACCTTTTTGTAAATCTCTGAGAAACTTTGTACCCCAATTAGATAAGGACTTGGCATCATTTGGCGTTTCCAATCGGCATCAATAAGTGCAGAAAGAAACCAATAACGTGATTTATTGGATTTGGCCAACATATAAAATAACACACAACTTCAGTTGTCAATAAGTTTGGTCTTGGTTAAGAAAAATATTACCTATTTTCCAATTCTTCAGATTTCCAAAGAACGAAGGGCATAGGAGAAAGTCGACATATCGAACCCTGATCGCAAAAACAATATAAGTTTTTTTTTTCAAAACCTACTTTTTGATGCAGAAATGGTCTACATGCGGGGTTTAAAAAAATTGCTTAAGTTATTTTCACGGTTATTGCTCGATACGCATGCGGTTTGAAAAAAACATGAGACCGTCAAATGTTTGTTTGTTTAATTCCCTGAACCGTCCAAGGCAAGTATCTATTCTGACAGCCAAGCGGCAATCAGGGCGCTGGTCTCACTGATCTTTCGTCGAAAATTCGTCAGGTAGTACCTGGAATCCCTTCATATAGCGTTGAAATCTTTTCTAATTAGAATTGGTAAGAAACGATATCACTAGGCTGGGATAGGGTGGAAGCATCGTTAAACAGCACAATGGGCGGCATGTAGCCTGTGTGCTATTTTCTGCACGCGTTGTTTTGTTCGGATTACACTGGTTTACAGCAAAAATGTTCTATCTATCCAAAGTAGTCAAATGGAAATGCGCAAAGATTTTTTGTATATGAAATGATTAAGAAATAATGTTGCTCATACGCCTCGTACACCTAAGTAACACACTTTTCTGCTCATACTTCTTACTCAGTACTTCTTATTTATCAATCGATTTTCTTCATCAGCGCGAATGCAAAAATTTGGCGTAAAACCTGTTATTTTTTAAATTTTTCTTCTGTTAAAGTTTGACTTTTTTAATTAAAAAATAAAAGGAACTGGAATGATTAATTAATTTCTCAGAAAATGTCAATTCTATTGGGAAGTAATGTATATATGGTTTATGGAGAATTTTATTAGCTTTGATTTGACGTATCTCCTTTTCGGCTTTTTGCATTCGTTTTTAAGGTAAACGTGATTAAGTGGAGCCACTTTATGTTTTAAGCTGAATAACGGTAAATTGGAAATATCTCAAAAACGTATCCATAGAAAAAAAATTAGCTGAAATTGGATAGTTGCGTCTGGAGAAAAAAAAAACAAACTAAAATTTGTGATCCAGTGTTATTAGACATTCGGGAAGAGAGGCCAACATTTTTTTGGTTTCGGCTGGTGGAGATTATGACAGGTGCTTTTTCGATCGGAATTTTCGAGGTGAGATTAAAAAGCAAATATCCATTTTAATGCCCAGTTTTTATGAAATAAAGATTTAAGCATGTTGGTTTTTACTTTATAACCGATCCTGTAAACTATCAAGAATTGTCACCATTTGATTGGCTCGTAGCGTTACATCGATACCACTGCAACTTAAACTAACCACTTTGATTTTGAAATAGTTTAGTATGCTTCTTGTTGGTTCACGCTAAAAGGGATTCTAAAAATATTTATTTAGAAATAAATTTGTATAGGGTCGTCATCAGTTTAAAATGTTGAAATCAATTTAAATTGAAAGTCAAATTAAATATTTGAATCTGCATATCAAGCGAGAGAGCTTTAAGAAAGCTTTATTTGGTAAATAATTTTTAAGGGGATTTCTACCTGTGTTTGAATTCAAAATGATTTTAATCAACAAGTTAAATGAAATATTTTAAATGGGAATCAAACCAACTAGAAGTCTAAGAAAGGTTTATTCCGAACACATTTTTAAAGAGAGTCGTCACTTTTTTGCACACGATCAATTTATTCAACAAGTTAATTTATTTCTGATGAGGGTTGCCGCTTGTTAAGAAATTCGAAATCAGTTAATTTAGGAAGCGTGTTTCAAAATGGGCGTCGAACAAATGCAGTTTTAAGAAAGTTTATTTCGTTTATAATTTTGAACGAAGGTTGCCACATGGTTAGAAATTCCAAATCAATCCAATTAACAAGGTAAATGAAATATTTTAATATAGGTGTAAAAGGTATAAATATTTTTGAAGATGATTGCCACCTGTTTAAAAATTCGAAATAAATTGACATCGATGACAAAAGATCAATTTTAACAAGTAAGAAAGTCTAAGTTCGGGCGGAGCCGAACATTAAATACCCGGCGCAAGTATTAAATATATGTTTTCCACCTTTCCGAAAGCTACCGCTACATGGTAAGCCGGGGTGTATCAATTTTGAGTAAATTAGCGTCCTTAGATTTCGAAATATTGAAATTTCAAGCATTTCTGAAATTTACCGTTATATGAAAAGCGGCCTCAATTTTAGTCCGATTTCAACAATTTTCAACGGTTTGCTTTTATGTGGCAAGCACAATAACCATACCGAGCTTGGTACAAATTGCTAGAACGATTAGCGAGATACATATATGTGATCACAAGTGGGCGGTGCTACGCCCATTTTCGAAAATTTTGTCATAAACGTATTTCTTGGTAAAGAATTGATGCAACCATCAATAATTAGCTTCAATATTTACTGATTTGTCGAAGATTTTGTATTTCTCGAAATTACCGTTATATGGGATGTGGGCGTGGTTATTGTCCGATTTTAGAAATTTTCGGCCATTTGGTATGCTATACCAGGATCAACAACTGTGCCAAGTTTGGAAGAAATTGGTGCAGCGGTTACCAAGATATACACATGTAACCATAAGTGGGCGTGACTACGCCCATTTGCCAATATTTTATAATATTCTTATTTTTCGTCTAAAACTCATTGCAAATATCAATTTTGAGTGAATTATCTTCAGTAGTTACTAAAATATCGCAGTTTTCGTTTTTCTGAAAATTACCGTTATATGGGAGGTAGGCGTGGTTATTGTCCGATTTTTAAAATTTTCAGCCATTTAGTATGCTGTACTAAGGCCAACAACTGTGCCAAGTTTGGAAGAAATTGGTGCAGCGGTTACCAAGATATACACATGTAACCATAAGTGGGCGTGTCTACGCCCATTTTCCAAAAATTAATAAAATTCATGTTTTCCGTCTGAAACTCATTGTAAGTATCAATTTTGAGTGAATTATCTTCAGTAGTTACTAAAATATCGCAGTTTTCGTATTTCTTAAAATTACCGTTATATGGGAGGTAGGCGTGGTTATTGTCCGATTTCGCCCATTTTCAATACCATCCGTCCTACGCCCAAAAGAAGTTCACGTACCAAGTTTCGTTAAGATATCTCAATTTTTACTCGAGTTATCGTGTGCACAGACGGACGGACGGACGGACGGACGGACAGACAGTCACCGCTTAATCGATTTCTCTTTTCATTCTGATCATTTATGTATACATTTGTCTATATCTATCTCGATTCGTTTTGCCTGTTACAAACAACCGTTATGTGAACAAAGTTATAATACCCTTGTGCACAAGTGCGCTCGGGTATAAAAATCAAATGAATAAAATCCACCTCAATAGTAAGATTCTTATAACACTTAAACGCACATAGATTTAGGTGATCGAAAATCGGCAACTAGCTTGAAACCGCCAAATAGGATAAAAATTGATTAAGTACGTTTTTTTTTTAATTTTTGTACAAAAAATATGTAGAAAATTTGAAAAAAATATGGTACGAGAACGCACGATATTTTTTTTACTCTTATTTTGCCTGTTTTAATAATCTGAGGCGCTGGAAATTTCTAAAGAGGCTGAAATTGAAGTTCAAACCTTCATCTGAGAGAACAATACACAGGCCAATAAAATTTATGTTGACTAAAATATTACAGCCGATCCTTATAGCATTTGTCCCGTAGAGCCCGAATCTGATCTTGAAAATTTTTAATTGGCTCTAGTTTTCAAGCTACTTGGTTTTTAAAGGTGTCCTTGTCGTCTTCATTTGCACTGTTAGAGTCACTGTCCATCGGTATTTGTGGATTGTTTAATCCATGAAACCTCGAGTTGTACTTCAAATATTGGTACAGGAATTTCTGCAGTAAGTGGGTAATGGCCGTCAACAGTTTAACCATAATTTTTTGATTTTGAGTATTAAAGGACAGTGTTTAGCCTTTCATATCCTCCTACACAGACAGATATGTTGTATCAATTTATTATTTTACAGAGGCTCAAAAATGTCAAAAACGCGCTTTTCGGCTCCAAATTTTACGCAACTAGGCAAACGAAGTTCACTGCCGAAAATTACGTTTAAGTTTAAGTTTTACTCGTCGTTTCATGCACGACTGACTGATATCCCATCAGAAATAAAGGTGTGTATATTCGAATATTGGTAAATGTTAGTGCGTTTGGTTTCCAGCTAGTTAATTAAGGGATTTAGAAATAAGCTAAGTTTAGGTTTATTTTCCTACCATCTCCGTCTCGACGCTTTCGTCCTTGATTTGAAGCTTGTCCATTCATTGGTAGAACTGAAAAAAGAAAAAAAAAACGTAATTTTAATAGAAAAATTAGAGTATCCTTATTATATTTATTAGGAATAAAATTTTTTTTTTTTTGTGCTTCTAAACATTTTAAAAATTCGAATTTATTTAAAAATTTTATATTTTAGTGTTCATCACTACTTTAAGTTATACTTTGTAATAAATGAACTTCAGTACAAGCGAAACAAGTACAATAGCATAAATAACATCGCTGATATTCACTAAATTCCACCAAAAATTCATTTACAAAATCAATAAAACCAAATACTTCTGCTAGCGGCGACCAACAATCGATACAAATCACAGGCTGCCAAATTAGTATTTCACCTAAATAAATTAGTTTATTTCCTAAGTGTGTCCTAATTGCCCACAAACACTTCGCTCACGTCAGCGATTCAATAAATTCGGCACCCACGTCTAGTCGACGTCTTTTAACTGCGCTTACCGGCCAATAACTGATTTCGAAATGTGCTTTTAGTCTACAAGTCGCCGGCCAAAAGGTGTCGAAAATTCCAATATACAACGTCATTACCATTACCATAAGCCATGTAGTAGCATATCGCCGCTGGCAACCTGAGTGACCAACAAATCAGCGGCTGGCCAACGTGGCCGTCTAGTTAGCCGTCAGAGCAGTCAAGGTGCCGGAAGCCAAGCGCTGAAAGGCTATTTGTATTGCTAGCAAGGAGAGAGGCGCACACTTTACTCTGGTGGAATATAGCTTTTTTTGGTCAAAGTTGTATGCGACATTTCTTCTTATTTAAATTTGAGTTTAATGAAGTCCATGTAGTGAAAGGATTTTGACGTGGAACAAAAAACGCGGTTTCGATTATTTTATTTTTATTTTAGATTTTTTTTTGGGGGGGTTTTCTGGTTGATCTATTCAACCGCCTAGGAAATTAAGTGCATGGCAGCAGAACAAAAACAAAGTCAAGCAGATAATCAAAATAGCAAGTGGTTGTATAACATCTACCCATGGCACACTTTTAAGGCATTCAATGGAAATTGATTTACTGCTAGATTTATATGTATATTTACTCGGAAAGCCTTGGCTTATGTCCGGTATAAGCAAATATGTAATTTATGTTTCCTAAGAACTGCCACACTCATTGGCTCTAACATGTGGACTTAACAATGTATTTGCCTTCTAATTGTTGCACATATTTATTTATTCTGTGAGAAAGTAATTGACAGTTAATTTGACGAAAGGTGCCATTGTGGGTAGAGATACCTACGTGGCCACCGCTGCGTATACGTAATCGAAAGTACGTAAATTCACTGCTTCCCAGAGGCAGGATTTCAGTGCCGGCTTATAGCTGGCCAACATACTAGGGCGCCGTAGGTAAGGATTAGCCTTACGATAGCGTTGTACACCAAACAAATTTCGGTTTTAATCCCCAGTTTCTATTCGAGATGCTTTTACAAACGTTATCAGCGATTTTCACTTATAATATAGTGATGTGCGGTTTTGATTATTTAAAGAACCGGTTATGTTCAGTGCGGTTCCAAGGATAACCAGGAACCTGGACGGGTTCCGGTTCTCAAAAAAATTGTTAATGGATATAGGCTTTATCGTAATAGCTTAAAACACAGTGAATTTCAAGTTGATAGCATCAAAAGTAACGAAGTTGATGCAAGTCGGGAAGATCGGGTACAAGGAGGCTATTTGATAGATTGCCGCGAACCGAACAAAATTTGGCAGGACAACTGAGAACTCTATAATACATATTTAAACCGAATTTCGTGCTAATATTTTCATATTTAGTTTTTACGCCAAAATACTCGAGATTTTGCCCATAGTGCGCTTCGTGGCCGAATTTTGGTTCTTTTGAATGATTTTTCAGTTCTTTTTATTTATTTTTTCGGTTATTCTGATATAATTTTCCCGTTCTTCCGGAACCGATTTTGGTTATTCTAGAATCGAGTTTTGGTTCTTCCAAAACGGTTTCTGGTTCTCTTATATTCGAGTTTCGGTTCTTTCGAAATAGAGTTCCGGTTCTTCCGGAACCGTTTTTCGGTTATTCTAAAATTTAGTGTCTGTTCTTCTGGAATAGAGTTTCAGTTCTTTGTAAATAGAGTTGCGGTTCTTCCGGAATCGTTTTTCGGTTACTCTAGAAACAAGTTTGGTTTTTTCGGAATCGAGTTTCGGCTCTTCCGGAACCGTTTTTTTTTTTTTGGTTATTTAGGTATTAAGTTTCGGTTCCTCCGAAACGGTTTTTTGGTTCTTTTGGAATAGAGTTTCGGTTCTCTCAAAATAGAGTTCCGGTTCTACCGGAACCGTTTTTCGGTTATTTTAGAATCGAGTTTCGGTTCTTCCGGAACAGTTTATTGGTTCTTTTGGAATCGGGTTTCGATTCTTTCGGGATCGTTTTTTTGATTATTTTGGTATCAAGTTTCGGTTCTTCCGGAACGGTTTTTTGCTTATTTTGGAATAGAGTTTCAGTTCTTTCGAAATAGAGTTCCGGAACCGTTTTTCGGTTATTCTAGAATCAAGTTTGGTTCTTTCGGAACGGTTTTTTGGTTCTTTCGGAATCGAGTTTCGGTTCTTTTGGAACCATTTTTCAGTTCTTTTGGAATCAAGTTTCGGTTCTTCCGAATCCGTTTTTTGGTCCTTTTGGTATTAAGTTTCGGTTCCGGTAAAAACCGGACCAGTAGGTTTCCCAACCGGCCCGGTTCTCCGGTTCCAGCTTCTCTATTCTCCCTGTGGAGTACCACTGCTCACATATCTAGTTGCCAGACTATATCCGCGCCAGTGGAATTTGGAAAATCCTTTTCGAATATCTATTAACAAAAAGCCATTTAATCGAGCAATTTTCATATAAAATGATTACGGGTTTCGTAACAGATGTGGAAAATTATTGAAAAATCGCACTGGTTGACAACACAGTTCTTTATACTTAAAGAGTAAACAGTTTCAATATGTAATTCTGAAAATGGTGCGATGATATTTAATATTTTTTCCTGCTGAAAAAAGTAAACTCATAACAACTTTTTTTTATATATTACGAAAAGTATTACTCATTATGGCTTTTGTGAGACTTTGTTGATTTAATTAATTGTTCCAATTTAAATTTAAAAACTGCTTTGGACCCCTCATAGAGCAAAATTACCCTTGCACAACTTCCAAGTCATTGCCTAATACACATATAAGAACACCAATATTAAATACATAAACATATGTATACATATTTATATACGGGCACCACATGTGTTTCAAGTATCAGATATGCGCATATGTAAACACATTTAACTGTCAAATATGCCAAGGTCAAGTATTTTCATACCCAAACAGCCATTTGCATTTATGTACATACTTACGTAAACACTGAGTAAGGAAAAATGTTGGCTGCCGAAAATAGGTCTACAATTAAATAAATTTCCTATGCATTCTTGTAACATTCAAATTTGGTGGGCGAAATCAGAGCCAAGGCTATACACATTTAAATTCACCTCGTCTTTAAAAAGAAGCATGAAACAGTACTTAGCACGAATGAGGGATACGTGTTGCTCTACATAAGAGTGGCAACAGTGAAAAAATTTGGAAATCGTGAATTCAAAAGCTGTCGCTTGTAAAAATATTATATTCGGAATGAAAATAAGCATGAAATGTTGTTAGAATGTGAGAAATGAAAAAATTTAGAATTTGTTTGGAATATTAGGAATTTCGAGACACCAAAACGTACTTGTAAACCTCTAATTTTTTTCTGTACCAAATAGGATATAAAATTACTTGTCCAATGTATTAAAGAAGTCTTACCTAGAGACCTAAGTAAATTTACCAAAATTTTCTTATTACGTCTCTTTACTATTTTAAGGTCACGATTTACACATATGACATATATACGCCAATATTTTTTTCAAATGTGTGGGCTCATAAGAAATTTTTTGTGTGGCATGGGTACTGCCGTCGGTAGGGCTCGACGCATTGGCACAAATATTGTTTGTCATTTAATTTAATAATTTAACAGCTCACTTTGCTTGGTCACTTACAATTGGCAAATTCGTTTTCGAAGGATTGAACGGTAAAAAGCCTATAGACCTACATAAATATGGGACATGGTGTAATGAAATCCATAATATCCTTATCTGCGAATGACTACATTTTTTCGGCCATTACAATCAATTATTTCAGAATATTGACTTCTTCATGTTCGTCATGAAAAGCATTTTCCACTTCAATTCAAAGGAAATCTTTTTATAAAAAATCCTAGAGCAACATTACGCGTTAGAAAAATGCAAATATTGCGAAAGCTTTTCAATTGGGATGTCGTTATTTCAGATTGCTCGCGAAACGAAGAAAATTGTTTTTAAATAAATATGTATCTTCGAACTTGAATTTCGTATGCAGCATTGCTCCAAGTAAACAAAAGTGTGTAAAGTTTGAAGCGTCTTCACTAAAGAAGCAGCGAAAGCTGTAATAGTTTTATATAATCACCGAGAGCGTCGTAGCCCGATTCTAATACTTCTGGGCAAAAGTTTTTGCGTATATATATTCGACAGTGTTTTTTCGCTATCTTGTCCAATATTATACTCTCGAAATCGTCGATCTTCATATTTTTTGAAAATCGATTTAAGAGAAGCACTTAGCTTGAAAACTTCTTTAAGCAGGTGAATCGCGACACAGTTTTTGAAAATGTCGCGGCAAAAACAAAAGCTTTAACTAATGTAGACTTTTTAAATTACGAAACACCGATCAGCTTTTCCAAGGATCACTGATCTTTATCCTTGCCCTTCGTTCCTTGGAGCCTCTTACCGGCCCAACTTGAAACGAATATTTCAGGAAGAAGGTTGAAATTTTGTAACTGAGTAGATGTTTATTATAAACACTTATTCCCAATCAGACATTACATTGGTAATTACCTACAATTCATTTATGATCTGGCCTTGCCTTCGAAGCTGAGGAAGAAATCTTTCACTTAATTTTTTTGTTTTATTTCTTGAGCTAAGTTTAATTGATTGCAAGCTATCTTATATGGCTTGTATTGCAAATA